GATGATGATTGTGATGATGATGGTGATGGTGATGATGATGATGATGATGATGATGATGATAGTGGTGATGATGATGATGATGATGATGATGATGGTGGTGATCACTAGTAATTGGTACCGAAACGAAACCCAAAAACCGAACTTGATGAGTGCTGCAGCTGGTATCACCAAGTTGAAGCCGCAGAACGCCACCCTGAACTAACCCCCATCCCAGCGGCCTCTCTTGCTTTCACGGCATTCTCGGCCTCTGCCAGCGCTGCTGTTTTCAGGGCCTCCTCCACTGCAGCGGCCATGGGGGGAGTCCACGAGACCCGAGGCTTGAAGCTTGACCAAAAGGGCTGCGGTGGACGGTGCAAGACAGGGCTTCATCCTGGAGTTAGGCCCTAAAGCCCGCAAACCCTGAACCCTAAACCCTAAGGCCCTAAACCCTGTAGGGATTTAGGGCTTCTGGTTTAAGGCTCAGGGCTTTAGACTGTAAGGGCCGAACACACCAAACTGCCATCCTCCCGACTTGAAGCATCGGATATTCAGCATGCCTTGCTGGTGTTGGGTAGGGGTGGGTGGGCAGGTAGGTAGGTAGGTAGGTAGGTAGGTAGGTAGGTAGGTAGGTAGGTAGGTAGGTAGGTAGGTAGGTAGGTAGGTAGATAGGTAGGTAGGTAGGTAGGTAGGTAGGGTTGGACCTGCAGCTGTAGCTGCGGCCACCACCACTCTTCCCTGCCCAGCATCGTAGGGTTTCGGGTGTAGGGCTTCAGCCCCAAGAAACGTAATATTTAGGAAAATTAGGGCCTGAAGCATTAGTCAGGCTTTTTTGGGGTGTTTAGGGTTTAGGATTTATGGGGGGATATTAAAGAGTCCTGATTACCAGAGCTATACGGAGACTATCTAGCTAATTATTCAGCAGTTTCTGCGCAGAGGAAGCCAGTGCGATGACCATCTAGGGCTTAATACCGGAGCGTGAGAAATTAGAAGAGGTCGTTGGGTTATATTATGTACCACAAGAAGGAACCCTAGGGGACAGTGTTAGTAATTACCTCCTGTCTTCGTGAAACTACATTTTAGGCATGAAAGCCGACCCTAAACCCAGAAACCCTGATCCTTGAACCTAAAAACAACACAGATCTTCCAATATCCCCCATGACCAAGGACTATACCCTGAAACATCTTAGGGATCCTACTATACTTCAAAGTATATGCCTGAAATGAGGGATATGGGAAGACCTGGGAGCGCATGGAACCCGAGGGACAGTACTAATGGTCTAGGCTTCGCGCGACCTGATCCCTGAGCTTCGGGTTGGACTTTTAAGTTTAAAGGCTTTCGGGCTTGGGTCTCTATGGCTGCCTGGACCCTAAAGAACCTACCTCTACAAGGACTTATAGAATAAATTCCTAATAAGGAGCCCTAAACAGGCAGGTTCTTTAGGGTGCAGGGAAGGGTTTCGGGCGCAGGCGAGTAGGGCTCTCCGGCGTTTTTCGGTTTTCACCCGGAAATCCCGGAGCCTGGGGCCAAAAGCCCGATGCCTCCATCCGAAGTCTACTTGAGCTGAACCCTGAGTTTAGGGTTTTAGGGCTTAGGACTTAGGACTTAGACCCTAAGCCCTAAGACCCCAAACCCTAAACTCCTAAAACTATAAAACCCTAAACTCCTAAAACCCTAAAACCC